CGGCTAATGATCACATGACATACTAAGCTGTCGCGACTTTACATGGAGAATAAAATCCCTACATCAATGGCAAAACAAACAGAACCAGAATTTATAATCGTAAAATGGTATTCTACTGTAAAATAGTCATAAAAGTAGTATTCTAAAGTTAACTATAAGAAAGGTATGATGATGAAAGCCGAGAAAGTAGGGAAGCCAGTAATGTAGGTATTTTATTTTCTATGTAAAGTCGAGACAGCTTAGTCTGCTATGTGACCATTAACCAATCAAGCGATATGTATAATTCCATCCCTGTTGTGTTTGGTTTCTATTTTCAAGTTCAGTAGCCAGTCCTACATAGCTTTTTTTTATTGAGCGATAATTTTTTTACCGTATCTTCGTAATATGATCTATTGACTACATGTGTTTATTTCAGGGATCTTACCCGCAAACACTAAACTTATCTGCTATTTATTTACTGTTCGGTTTGATGGTTTTAGCATTCAGTATCGAATAGTTTTCTTTGAAAGCTCTGTTTTTTATGTTTACAATTCATTTAGAACATTTTCCCCAATAGTATTAAAGTTTCTCAATTTGTAAGTTGTATATTATGTAATTTTTTTTTGTAAATAAGGTGAAAATGCGTATAACGTTTGTGGAAGATTACCAGTATTCCCTGTTTAGCGAGGTTAATGCTTCCTGAAACACGCCATGCTAAACGAAAACGCGCTAAGCGAAAAATCATTTCCCCCTAGGAATACATGTAATAATGGGGCGAAGCGTACCTGACCGAAAGGTTTCTGAACAAGAAACTTTTAAACGTGTCTTACGGTATTAATTAGATACCCAAACAATAAATAATTATATAAAACATTAAATAAACGTCAAAATAAGAGCATACCGGTATACATTACATAAAGTAACGTAGTATAGACCTACCTGTATAGCCCATGCAATGATTTGTTTGTTTGTGTTTTGTAATTAAGCACAAAGCTACACAATAGGCGATCTGTGCTCTGCCAATCACGGGTATCGAAACCCGGATTCTTGCGTTGTAAGTCCGTAGACATACCGCTGTGCCACTGGGGGCTATGCAACGATTCATGCATTATTTTACAGCAGTTTTTCTTTTTTGAGCAACGACATCGTGCACAATTATCATAGCACATTGGATAAAATTTATTAAATAACATATTTATTTTCACTGTGGTACACAAGCATGGGCTTCAATCTAAAATCTGCCTCAGTACTGGCCTGAAGAAAAGGTTAACCTATCTTCTTCTTCGTCAGTATTGAAGATCTAATATGGTAAATGTTGTCCTTCTTCAATAATGACTGTCAAAGATAAACTGAGCATGTTGGACATTTCATGCATGCGCAGCTGCGTTGGAAAGTGCAATTTTCTATTTCAAAACCGCGCTAAATCAAAATTACTATCGCGACTGGCCGCGCTAATCGCGAAAATTCCCTAATATGAAAACCGTTTTAAAATGAAAACGCGCTAAAAGGATATGCAAGTGCTGTTTAATGTATAAAGCATTTCTGACAGTATCAACTTTTTTGACATTAAATTGTTATTTCGCTGATTACTTTTATTGTATATGAACTACCTGAACATCCAAACATGCTTTACATTCGTTTCAACAAAAAACAGTTCGTCCATTATATTCGACTTTAGTTGTTTGTAAATAAACCCAAAGTTACACAATGGGCTATCTGTGGTCTGCCCTCCACGGGTATCGAAACCCGGACTCTAACGTTGTAAATCCGCAGACATACCGCTGTGCCGCTGGGGGACACATTATATTCGACTTTGGTTGTTTGTATATTATACTGACGAACCCCTACATGGTCAATATTAAATGGTCAATAATGATAATTTAGAAAAAATGTCTTTTGAAATTGAAATTTTTAATTTCAATTGAAGCGAACGCTGACTGTAAATTCGATAAATATCAAAACTTCTTGCTCCCAGATAGCACAGCAGTAAGTTTCAAACTCAAATTAAGAAATGTTTATCTAAAGACATTATGTCCAATTGATCTACATCAGAACTCAAATTAAGAAATGTTTATCTAAAGACATTATGTCCAATTGATCTACATCAGAACTCAAATTAAGAAATGTTTATCTAAAGACATTATGTCCAACTGATCTACATCAGAACTCAAATTAAGAAATGTTTATCTAAAGACATTATGTCCAATTGATCTACATCAGAACTCAAATTAAGAAATGTTTATCTAAAGACATTATGTCCAATTGATCTACATTACACAAACTGTACATAGGTGGTAGGTTGTTTCATAAAGCTGGTAGCTCTGAGTCTCGAATGTTACCGTACACCATTGAAAGTATTCATGACGCTATTTTGACAACTTGACATTAGTGATGAATTCAAATTCGATGACGAGGAACCCACTTTGAGACTAATAATGGCTGGAGACGGCTATGTACATTTGCTGTTATGTTAAACTTATATTAAAGTTTTTCTTCATTACCCATTCAAGCCGTCTCCAGCCATTATTAACTTGACATTAGGCTTAGCCCACCAGTGGCACAACGGTATGTCTGCGGACTTACAATGCTAGAATCCCGTGGTGGGCAGAGCACAGATAGCCCATTCTGTAGCTTTGTGCTTAATTAAAAACAAACAAACATTAGGCTTATACCATACGTCTATTTATTAAAATACTATTTTTATGAAAATCATGAAGATTTAAGCGCTAACATGAGCAAATTGTGCGTACAGAGACGGAAAGATGGCCGTAAAATAGATACAGACAGTTCACTTATAATCAATGTCTAGCAGTCGTTCCTGGTTATATATATATATATAATATAAACACACACACACTACTCAATGAGAAAAACAAGATGTTAAAATAAAATCACAATACATGTATTCATACAAGTAACCTCAGAACAAACAAATCGTGTGTGGCTACAGATGAAATGTAACATTTAGTTATATTGATTTAAGGTCATGAGAAAAACTCGATAAGAAAGGATTTGTTAAACTGTAATGGCGGTAAATCACGTAGTGAGAGATACGACGATCCAATCTACCATGAATATCAAGAAAACATCGATTAGTTATTTGACTTTAAGAGCCGCATACAAAAAAACCCCTGTGGCAGCAGGTGCCGCTAGCTAGCTGCCTTCCTTCTGGTCTGTGGTTTAAAATTAGGGGTGGGAATATCTGAATTCTAGAGTCAGTGCGTATGAGGTGCTGTTTATGTTGATAAGTTTCAATCAAGTATTATGTAACTGAACATAGGTTTCACTAAGTGACAAACTTTTCTTGACTGTTTTATGGTTTAGAAAACAAAACAGTAATTCAGTTAAAAATGTGGTACAGATTTCATGAATGTAATTTGATCCTTCGTATTTAATGTTGGTGGTAAATATTAACTGAAAACAAAACAGTAATTCAGTTAAAAATGTGGTACCGTTTTCATGAATATAATTTGATCCTTCGTATTTAATGTTGGTGGTAAATATTAACTGAAAACAAAACAGTAATTCAGTTAAAAATGTGGTACCGTTTTCATGAATGTAATTTGATCCTTCGTATTTAATGTTGGTGATAAATATTAACTGAAAAAAAAGAATGAGCGTACAAAGTAAATTTCCTGCGAATATCTCCAGATAGAGTTGTCATAATCAACGTTTTTACCTGTTTGAAGGCATGAGACAGGTATAGAATATTGGCCAATGAAATCGTCTCCAATGTATTCGTCATCCAGGACAATAAACCGCAAAACTGCCAGCTCTGGAACAGTCACCAGAAATTTAAAGCTTTCCTCAAATAATGGACTATGACCTAAAAGAAAAAGAAAGTGAACCATCACTCGGAGTGTATTTTCTTGGAAACTATCTAAAGATTTGGTCGCAGTTTTCGGATTATTTCAGCTCTAGTAGTGACTTGATAAAATTCAGTTTAGTATATTCATTACATGCTGTCCCTCGGTGGTTTATCTTGATGGTTTAAAACGTTAAAATTTGTGATTCGATCCCTGCGGCAAACGCAGCGTGGATAGCCTATTTTCAGACTTGGCTAAAACAAGCACAAAATCACTACTCACATTATACCTACATTTATTCTGAGAGAGATGAGCTCAGAGGCGTAGAATTGAAACTTCAGTTGACATTATATACAAATGAAACTTAATGGAGCGCTCACACTTCTTGAAAAGTATTAGACGTTTCGGTTTTTGAACTCTAACGAGTTTATCTACAGTATACCTGCTATATGTACTAGTAGAAACGGCTGTTTCTGTTGGTAATTAGCAATCGTAGTATTCATACGTCATTGAACAAAAAATAGAAAAATGAGAACATTTTCTAAATAATGGATGTTTTTCTGGGAAGTACTGCACAGGAAAAGTGTTTGGATTGTTCTCTTTAGTTATACGCAACTCGTTGAACCAAAATTATTCAATGTACAGAGCTCAACATTTTCATAAATTTTACTGATATCAACTGTAATGTTTTTATAGATTAAAAGTGCTACCCTTTATTGAAAAAATAATAGTTTTTTAAGAATTCCAGTTTCTCAATAATACATTTAAAAATTAGACCAATAAAGATGTAATCAAACCCTCACGTACAGTCCTAGTGAAGGTCGTGTTCTTGCTGTGAGGAGAGTACGTTTATTTTAAATTTTGTTCTATTATAAAGAAATGGTTGTTGCACATACCATAGTTATTTTTCTAATTGTATGAATCTTGAATATGCAGAGTGTGATTTTTTTATGGATTTTTTTGTTTGTGGTGCTATTCAGTAGATGGCGCAGGAGTTTTGGTTACATGCATAGATGCTGACATAAACGCTACGTCCATTATAGTATATATATGTGTGTGTGTGTGTTAGGGTGGAATGAAAACAAGAAACTGACGCCTGATATTTCATTAAAGCATAATTTGTTAGAAAATATTAACTGAACCTTTCTCGTTTCAATAAGTTCCTCAGTGTTCTTCAATCGCGCGTGACCGTTTATTTACCCACAAGTAATGTCATTTACAGTCTAAAAAATATGCGAGAAACCACACCTCAAAAAGTACGGAGTAATTAAAGAGGAGTTACACCTAAAAGTTTACAGTCATGCTCTGAATGAGTACTTCTCTAGCGCCATAAATAAACGATGCATAACTGAAATTGTCTACTAGCCTTTACAATACAAAGTTATTTTTTGTTGAATTTCGCGCAAAGGGCCATTTAAGCTAGCCATCCCTGATTTTGGAGTGACAAAGTAGAGAGAAGACAGCCATTCAACACTACCCACCGCCATAACTCTGGAGCTAGTGATGCCAGACGTAATAGTGGGATTTGACCGTCACTCGTATAAAGCAACCAAGGCCCATAAATGCGGAGCGCGAATTTTTATTTTTTTAATAGTTTTTTTATAAAGTTATTTGATTTTTCCACCTAGGGAAATCGAACTCTAAATCTTAGCGTTATAAATCTGTAGGATTATCGCTGTCCCACGTAAGGACACTTACTATTATTGTGTTTTTTACAGTACATGATAATGAACTTGGTATAACCGGTGTTGTCCGATACCACAAACTGTTCATGTTACAGATCTTGGTATAACGTGTGTTATCCGATACCACAAACTGTTCATGTTACAGATCTTGGTATAACTTGTGTTGTGCGATATCACAAACAGTTCATGTTACAGATCTTGGTATAGCTTGTGCTGTCCGATACCACATACAGTTCATGTTACAGATCTTGGTATAACTTGTGTTGTCCGATACCACATACAGTTCATGTTACAGATCCTGGTATAACTTGTGTTGTCTGTTACCAGGGAACAGTATATGCTGATGAATTTGGTATTGGTGATATTGTCTACTGAAGTAGACTTGGAGATAATACGCCGATGAAGTTAAGTTTTAAGTTTTCGGTGATTTTCACCTGTCATCACTACATGATATGTGAGCATTTCAGTATTATAGGACTATATGAATCCAGTTTTTTTTTTATTGATTTTTACGCATGGGCAATCTACTTTTCGATAGAGATGAGCAAGAATAGCCCTCCTCTGAACAGCATTTTTCGATGGTTAACAAGACCATTTTAGTTTATAGCGGAGCGTGAAATAAGGTTATGCTTTATCAAATATACAATCGTTCTGCTTTAAAACTTGATAACGAGGAACCCACTTTTTCGAAAATAAAAGTTTTGAGACGGCTTGACTGGGTAATGAAAAAACTTTATTATAAATGTACGACGTTTCGACAAGATTTTGACATCCTCAGGTACACAAGAAAAAAAGTATGGCAACGAGCAAACCATCTTAAAAGATTAATAGGCAAAAACACAGGAGCATCCACAAAAAAAAACATTATTAAAATTTATAAACAATATGTTAGACCAGTAACTGAATATGCATGCCCTAAATGGTTAAATGTGGCAAAAACACATTTAAAGAAATTACAAACCATACAAAATTCAATACTAACTAAAGTATTTAGAGTACCAAGATACACAAATTTCATCATTTCTACACAATTACACAAACTTACTACTACAAAAACAGACTGATAGATTGTTCGTTCCGATACTTTCACAAAAATCTATACAATAATGATTTGTTAACCGAAATAGATCGTTATATCATAAACGATGATGTTAGGCTTAAGTGCCTCTCTCTACTAAATTTCTATTATAAGAACAAGACCACCTGCACCAGACGTTAAAAACTACCAGTACACTTTAGATACCACAGAACTATTAGGTCGTCAAGAAATTAATGCCGCTTTTTTCTAGATGAAAAAACCCGAACAACTTATATATCCAAACAAAACATTTATTA